TGACCAAATGGAACAAAGAATCCTTTGGTAATGTCTTCTCTCTTGTTAAAGAAGCTGAGGAGGAAGCATATACTGCTGAGCAAAATTTTGAGGGAGATGCTACTGAAGTAAACAGAGAAATTTTCAATCTTAAGAAGGCACAGTTGACAAGAGTTACGAATATGGAATAGGCATATTGGACGCAGAAAGGAAATGTTTAGTGGCTTAAAGGAGATGCAAATACCACATTTTTTCAGTCTTGTGAAAGAAAGGAGGAGACAGCAGGGAATCAACAGCCTTCTAGATACTAATAATCAATTGATGGATAAGCATGAGGAGTTGGAGAATCTGGTTATCTCTCATTTCACCAAATTTTTCAAGGACAATCAGGAAGTCTGTTCTTTGCAGGACTATAATAATTTTTTAGAAGGAATCCTCTCCCTAATCACTGCAACACATAATGCAGACCTTTTCAAACTGCCTGTGTGTGTGTGAACTCTTTCAATTTCCATTTGCTGAGCAAATTACATAAAAAGTTTCAAGATACATGAATATATGAAGTACCTTTGGATTTCAAGATCAGACTTGCATCGAGGTAATCTACATAACTCGAAAAATCTTGTGACCTCGTCCGGGTACGCACTAGGTTTATCGAGGGGCACGAAGTCGATGACATGTTTGACCAACATCTGCACTAGGTTTATTCATCCAATCCAACACATATTATTCATTCTTATTCATTCTTATATATATGAATTTGAACCCACATCTTATTCATTCTTATTGATCCAATCCAACACATATTATTAATTCTTATTCATTCTTATTTATTCATTTATTCATGCCCAAAGCGGTATGTAGAGCGGTATATCCATCCAATCCAACACATATTATTCATTCTTATTCATTCTTATATATATGAATTTGAACCCACATCTGCACTACATACCGCTCTACCATTTGAGCTAATAGGCAAAGATTTAATGTTTTTAAGGAGATTTATATCTTGCACTTTGACCTAATAAATATGTATTTTAATATTTTAAAATTGAAACCATCCAACTTGTTTCATGCCAATGTTCAAATGTATTACAAAACTTTTTAAATGCATCCCTATTAGAATATATTGATGCATCATATTTATGTAGTTATAATTTTGTTAGATAGATGAATTTCACTACGATTTTGAGAATGTATCATTTACCTTAATTATGAGAATGCATTGTTTTCTAATGAAAATGCATTACCTAGATATAATAATGCACAATAACAGAAACAGAGAAACTCAGACTTTATATTGACACTGCACTTAGTGTCTGTTAGAGTTTGCATCACACTGCATCAAAAACCTTAATATTGGATCGCAATATTGACTAAAATTATGCTAGATAGAATGCAAAAAATTAAGCAAGATCAAACCTATTATAAAAAAATAAATTCACTTTACATTGACCTAAACCACAATTTTAGACACTCTAAAATATAAGGCTATAAGATTATCTTAATATGCACTAAAGCATATTATATATGTATTCATGCTATATTCACTTTACATTTACCTAAAACACAATTTTAGACACTCTAAAATATAAGGCTATAAGATTATCTTAATATGCACTAAGGCATATTATATATGTATTCATGCTATAGAAGGGATTTTATTCATGCCCAAAGTGAATATAGAGTTGGTAATTGGGTGCGGTAAAAACAACTAAAAGTGTATTACAATGCAATAAGAATGACATCCCCTAGAAAAAAACTATACCAAAAAGAATTAAAAAATGTATGTTTAATAATGTAAAACATCTTTCCAAGGTTAGAAATGTGAAGTAACACAACCGCAAATAAATGAATTCACATCAATGGATGGATTAAAATCCACAAACTCCACTCAAAATGGATGAAAACAGATCAAAATTGAGAATATTGTGGGTATGATTCAACATTAAATAAGTAATAACCCATGATCCAAAGTTGGAAAATTCAAAATGAATGGAAAAAAATTATTTCTAAATCCGAAAATCAAACTCACTTCCTGAATAAAAATCAGCGATATTATCAAATAATTGGTGACAAATTAAAAAAACTAAGATAAACCAAATATGGAATTAATTATGCAAATAATTCAATTGGGAAATCTAATAATATATTATGTCATTTATGAATAAAAAATTTTCTTAGTAACATACCAGGTTGAATTCTTGGAGGGATCCTACAAAAATGGCTGCTCATTAGTTTCGATGAAGATGCGATTCAATAATTGAGAATCCCATAGCCAAATAAGGAAAATCAAAACTGAAAAGAGAGAAGATCGTAAATAGATTTTATGGAGAAGAAGAGCAACTGATAAGGAAATAATGATTGTGGTTGAAAATCCTAAAATGTCCTTGTGAAAAGAATGAAAAAGGAACGGATGAGATGTAGATCCAATGGCTATAATTCATTCTGATTTCTTTCATTAGATTTCATTCTTATTTAAACCAAAATCTATATATATATATATATATATATATATATATATATATATATATATATATATATATATATATATATATATATATGTTTTGGTTCAAATAAGAATAAGATCTAATGAAAGAAATGGGAATGAATTTGGATCGTTAGATCTAATAATGCATGTGTTGTCTTGCGCTAACTCCTCTAGGGCATTTTGGGTTTTAGACATCTCAATCTTATCTCATTATATTCTCTCCCCCATCTATTCCCGTAAGATCTGCTCCTTCTACACGACCATCTTCCTCGTAGTCACGTAAAGATTTCATTCTTCTATAGGGGATTCATTATCCCATCAAAGGCTCTCCATCTTCGGCTAGGGTTTGTTCATAACATTGATAAGAGATTCGGCGCCACTGGATTCGAGTAAGTCTCCTTGTTTGTCAACTTTCATTTTAAAAAACCCTCATTTAGATTAATCTGCACACAATTTCAAATTTGGTGAGTTGCAAGTATCAATTTCTCAATTAATAATTGCGGTAATTGTGAATTTCTTTTAGTCAAGTGAAAACAAGAGTTCTTTTTCGCGATGGGTGGGGTTGAATCGACAATTTCAATATTTGTTTCGATTCAAGTAGCTATGTCTTGTTTTTCTCTTTTTTTCTGGCATATATATATGTCAAATTTTCAATACCATTTTGGGCAGTGGTATCCAATATGGATGAAGATTGGTTTGATTTTATAATGCAGTTATATAGTCAATAAATCTATTAGGATTTCTTATTTGACTACTTCAAGAAGTTAACTTTGTGTGATGCATTTCTCGCTAGAACAAAGTTCTATTTTTCTCTGCTAATTATTTCTGATCTTACTTGCATTAAAGGTATTCACAGTACATTTCAAAACAATTAAGTATGCATTGATAAATGTTATTCTATTTTACAGTAACTTACCAAAGTTAGTTTTTGGATTGCCATTGATAACAAGGTGGTTTGAGATATTAAATTAGCATTAAGGGTGTAGTATTTGGGTTTTTGCTTGTGCACTATATTCTTCTTGATAAACATGTTATTCATTTGATATTTATTTTTGCATGCACTCCTATCCATGAGCTTGATTATGCACTTCACAACTTTCACAGTGCACTTTTATATGTCCATCACCTTTCCCACTCCTCTGACTTTTTTTCCTATTTCAAACTGATGGGTGTATTCCACCCACGACCAGTCAAAGGAGAAGGCCAAATCTTTGACCGGTCAATCTCGAAAGTTTTGGAAGGGAGACTTAAATCGTCAGCAAAACGATATATCATCGGCCAAAATATGACCGGTATACTTCACAAAAAAGTATACCAGTCAAACTACGTTGTCATCCGATTTATTCCAGACTTCGATGAATTCATCCCTCGGAGATTACCCGGTGTAGTTTCTGGGGTTGGAAAGTGTCGGCGGAAGAGGATCTGCGAGGGCTTGGCGTGTAGCGACCCGTGTCAGTAGAGGACAACTAGAGATGCTGAAGAATCCATCCAAGGCACTACTCGACAAAGGGAATGATCCCCCTCACAAGGCGACAAGGCAGCTCGAGGACGAAACGAGTCACCTCGCACCACATCAGCAGCATGCCCCCACGTGGGCGCACGTGGTCTTGTCCCCTATAGCCTAGTATAAATACTCATGTAAACCTCAGAAAGAGGGATCCGAATTCATTCTCTCTAGAACTCCCTTGTAAAAGCACCCGTGCATTCTCCGTTATAATATAAATTGGGCTACAGGTGTTCCACCTAAAGTCCTACCGGTCAATGTGCGTATTTTTACCTTTCTTACTTTGCCAAATCGAACAAACTATTCTAGACCCGGTCTAGTATAGTTTGACCGGTCAAGTAATTTACCCCATCATTTTTGGCGCCGACCGTGGGACCGTTAAGGTTTCTTCTCCTAAACACAAACCTACCCACCAAAACACCACTCGAAATGTCTTCCAGCCAACAAATCAATGCTACTTCCGCTCAGGTGCAGGCCACCAACGAGGGAGCCAGCATCCCTGTGGCTGCTACCATACCGGTCATTTCAGCCCCGGTGTTGCCTTTGGGTCTGAGCTCTATCCCGACGGCCAGCGTAATCAGTCCCTTCGCGACCCCCGTCCCTTCCGCTGGACCGAGGGTTACGTTCCCACCAAGCATGGCTCAGTTCATGAATGACCCAGCCAACCTACAAGCCATCCAGGGCTTTGGTCAGGTCATGGCCATGTGCCAGCAGAACGAGGGGGGGTGCCTTTCCTCCCTGGTATGTTCCCATTCGCCCTTCTAGGCGCGGGAACCATGCCCCTACAATCTCCGATGGCGGTGACGTCGTTCCAGACGCCGATGCCGCAGCCATCACCTTTCCAGTCCGAGCTGGTCAGCACCATGGCCCCTGTAAACTTGACCGGCGCACTTAACGCCGCAGGGCCGTCGCGTCCCCCGCAAGCTACGAATCCGCAGATCACTCCTGATGGTCATTGCGTCTCAATTGAGAGTGATGACGGCGAGTGGGACATTCCGAGGGCCCACAAGAAGAAGAAAGGAAAAAACATCCGGCCAGCGGCCTCCCGAAACTCCGCCTTCGAAAGGCTGGGGGATAGGGAGGAAGGCCAGAGGAAGTCAGCCAAGCAAAGGCTGGGGCAGAGCGTTGCCCATGTCAGCGCGTTCGCCCGGCTAGGCTAGGTGCGGGAGGCCGAGCCTGCCCGCACCCGGCGCTCCTGGTCTAACCGGCAGGAGCCAGCGAGGACAAGGGCCTCCCACCAGGAAGAGGAGGCAGAAAGCCAGCCCAGGTTACCGGTGGCGAACCGGTTAACCATCCCAAACGACTGCGTCCAGCAGATGGAGGCAAAGCTGGAAAGGCTGGAAAAGAAGGTCGGTGAGAAGAATGACCGGGACAAACCCCTGGCAGGGTCCCCGTTCACCACAAGGGTCCATCTGACACCTTTCCCGCGAAAGGTCAAGATCGACGCCCCCAGATTCACCGGGAAGGAAGATCCGGAAATCCATCTGGACTCCTTCAACCAGAGTGCGACCATGAACGGTTGCACCGATGAAGAAAAGTGCCTTCTTTTCTTCCAGACCTTGCGGAACCGAGCCACTGAATGGTTCAATAAGCTTCGCCCGGGAAGCATTGA